GGGGGGGGGGGGGGAGTCAGGCCTGCGTATTCATGTGACATTAGTAAAATCGTGCAAACAAGCACCAGAGCTGCTGCGGTACAAGTGAGTCATGCTAGCTACGATGCCAGGGAAAGGTCTGGACACGAGTGCTCAGTGCAAGCTGTCATCAGCTTGCATCATCAGTTGTGGAAAACGTGAACTCGTGACACTTCCCGTTGAGGTAATTAAATGTGATATTGCATGTTCAGATGTTTAGTGCAGGGCCTGGCTAACACAAGAAGTGTTCAGTAAAAATGTGAACTGTTATTACTACTATCGTGAATAGTTTCTGTGTTTACTGTAAATTGTTCCTGATTTACATTAACGTAAAGAAATGTGAATTAGATACTCAAATTTAGAGTGCAAATTTCTTATTTTTCATCTGTAAACATCTAAATCAGTTTAACTGTAAAGTGTTCCGAGACTACAAAATGGGTTGTTAGAAAAATACTGCACTTGTAGAGCTGTGTAAATCGTTTTCACTGGACAAGATACAGATACAAATTGCAAGGGGAGGTTAATAGGAACCAGTTACAGTATCTATTCCCCCATTTCAAATCTTTGTCATTGAAGTGTAGTTTACCTTGTTCATGCTGATTCTAAGTGTTCTAAATTCGAAGTTATCAAATACATGTATATTACTAAAAATATTTTTAAAATTCTATTGTCTTGTTTTTCTGACATGTATAAAAAACTTTCAGTGTAATTAAGCTCTGTTTTCTTTTCTTAGGAAGACTTACCCATGTCACTGAAAAAAAAAACCCCAAACCTCAATTGTTTTACTTTAAGCTTTATATCATTAATATGTAACTTTAAATTGCAATACTTTTTTAAAAATTAATTAATTTATTTTTGGCTGCGTTGGGTCTTCGTTGCTGCACGCGGGCTTTCTCTTGTGGCGAGCGGGGGCTACTCTTCGTTGCGGTGCACAGGCTTCTCATTGCGGTGGCTTCTCTTGTTGTGGAGCACAGGCTCTAGGCGCGCCGGCTTCGGTAGTTGTGGCTTGCGGGCTCTAGAGCGCGGGCTCAGTAGTTGTGGCACACGGGCTTAGTTGCCCCATGGCATGTGGGACCAGGGCTCGAACCCGTGTCCCCTGCATTGGCAGACGGATTCCTAACCACTGTGCCACCAGGGAAGCCCCAGCAATACTTTTTAATATATTCAATTTTTGCATGTTTTCTACAAGACAAATGTTTGAAGGCAAAATAGACACAAGTAAATGTTAACTTACTATTAGATGTTAGAAAATCCTGAAATGATTTAGGAGGTTATCTAGTAATGCGTTTTTCCCCCTTTTAAATCTTTTTTCAGCTAAAAATGTTTCACTGCAGGAATAACTCATCATACCTGTATAAAATTAATGCTTCAGTATTGCAGCAGCCATTTATATCAAGAGGATATAAAAAGGGAAATACGGCTTAAAGACATGTTTGTTTGGTTGCAGAGATTCAGTGACTGAAGATGTCCATCTTTTGAAATTCTAGTAAATCCAGAAGTGATTAAATGAACATAAGAATTCAGTGGGGTTTTCCCCTAGTAACAAGGCTTTAAATTTATAGCTGGCCGGCATAACGATCACAAGGTAAAAACTTTTATTTTTGAAGGCTGATATTGGTATATGTTCTAAGATTTTTCTGTAGAATTATTCATGTCCTCACTTATATCATGTCTGTGACTCCCTCTCACACTCTTCTCAACGCATCTCCACATCTTGGGCCCCACGACAGACACGCAAATCTTCACTTGCCCCGACAAACGTCCCCGTTGCCCCTCCTCCCCACTCATAACTTCCTCCTCCATTCCCACAGGCATGGCGCTCCATACACACTCTCCATATCTCTCAGTCCTGTCTTCACACACACTCCTACCTTCTCCCCAACACTCCATCATAAACATACTCTCCCTCCTCCCACCACACACACACACACACACACACACACACACACACTACATTTACAACAAAAAGAAATAATAGGTTCTTCACTTTTTTCACCCAGTATGTTATGGGCATACTTTACCTGTACATAGGGATATGCCATCTTTTTATGGCTGCAGAGTTGATTGCATTTTAGAAGGGAAGGTCATCACTTAGGATCCTTTTATTATATATAATAATTGTATATATCTACATATACATACATATATTTAATGTAATACATATATATGGCAGAAAAAAATGTCAGAATTCTAGATGTTCACCCTTTGTTCTAGGAAACAACTAAAATTAACGTGCCATTTATAATCTGAATTAAGGTTTTCTCTTTTTTTTAAATTATTTTAACTTTGGCTGTATTGGGTCTTCTTTGCTGCGCGCTGGCTTTTTCTCTAGTTGCGGCGAGCGGGGGCTACTCTTCGTTGTGGTGCGCAGGCTTCTCATTGTAGTGGCTTCTCTTGTTGCAAAGCATGGGCTCTATGCGAGCAGGCTTCGGTAGTTATGGCTCGCGGGCTCTAGAGCGCGGGCTCAGTAGTTGCAGCACACGGGCTTAGTTGCTCCGTGGCATGTGGGATCTTCCCGGACCAGGGCTCGAACCCGTGTCCTTTGCACTGGCAGGCGGATTCTCAACCACTGTGCCACCAGGGAAGCCTAAGGTTTTCTCTTAATAGGCACAAATTAAAAAAAAATCTTTCTGCCTTTTAAAGGAGAGCAGCAAGAAACATCCTCACAACCAAAGAATTGTGGAATAAAGAAGAAGAAACCACTATATTCCCATTCTGTGACCAAAATTACATTTGACTGATAGCACAGAATATATGCTGGGGAAATGTGTAATATCACTGCTATTTATTGCTGGGTTCTTCCTGTTTATTGTGTATCAAAAAAGGGCTAGCCAACGTCAGGTCATTCCAGACCTCAAATCAAGGGCCTATCAGCCAACCTTAACCTTGTACACTTCTGGAAGTCAGGAGAGGACTAGGAATAACCAAGTGCAGTAGTAACTTGCTGTCTCTGGAAGTGCTCCTTCCAGGATCCTAGTCATTTGAAATTCCCCAGAGAACTTCTGGGGAAGACTTACAAACCTGAGAGAGGAGGTTATCATTGGTAGTAAACTACTGAAAAAAAATTTTTTGGCATAAAGAAATGAGTCAATCCCCAATTCTCTCTTTCTCTCCCTCTCTCTCTCTCACACACACAAGCTGTGTGGAATATGTTATCCAAACACCGAGTTTCTTCGGAACTGAATATCATTGGAAGTTCACATAGTTGCTCTATTTTAGGTAAAACTAATGGACATGTAACCAAAACAGATACACATTAATTTTTTTATAAAATAACACAATTTATTACTATTTTAAAACATCTCACAAAATAACGTTCAGAAACTCAACATTTCTAAATAATTTAACACAGTAAGTTTAGTCATAAAGACATGCTACAAAATTCCTGCATATAAAAGATTATTACCAACATATTAATAGATGTTAAAATGTTCTTCAGAATGGAGTTGGTTCTAGAAGCCAAAGATTCTGGAGTGATGCTCATGATCATGACTAACACCCTGGGAGAAGCTGGCCATATGTATATTCTCTACAGCTACCAATTCACCAGTCTTTTGATGGGATTGATCACTCTAGGCAATAGCACCTCAGAGGCAGGTACCCTGCTGATCAAACAAGCAAAGAACTCCCCACCCTTGTAACATTAGCCACAACTTAATCTAGCCAACATCTAAATTAATTTTTAAAATCTAGATGTAGGAAAGGTAACTCACAAAGTTTCTATTCTGAGTAGGAAATTCTTGATACATCCCCCAGAGGGATGACTTAATGTAGCAGACATGGAAGATGACACCAAGTAAGGAAATAGGGAAATCCTGGCTCTGATTATGCTGACACACGACTACTGCTCAGGTGGGCTTAGAATGAGCAAGGGTGAGGTTTGATTCTCTAATATCCACATGCAGGCTAGGTATTTACCCATCTTCCCTTTGAGAGTACTTTCCACCAACATCCAGTTCATTTTAAAGTGCAAATCTACTGAAAAATAGCTTACTCTCCCCCACCCCCTTGTTAAATTTGGTAGGTCATAATTTGGTTGGCTGGTTCCCTTCTAACCTGCCCAATATGGGAGATTAACTAGAATCCACTTATGACTTCTCCAAGTGTCAGGTGAAAATTTATCTTAGGTTAGAAAAAGGTAAGACTCAGTCTAGTTTTTCTGTTTTCTTTCTTTGAAGTCAATGGTTGATAAAAAGGCAGGAATAGAGATATAGATGAGGGATTTCTAAAAGTTCAGTGATTTTTTAAAAAAAAATACCTTTAATTTTTTTATTGCACTTTATAGTTAAAAACACTCATGCTAAAATGAAGATTAAGGAATATGGTCAAGTTAGCTACGTCAGAAGCACCAACTCTGCTACACTGAATCTTGTTTTATATTTAATTATTTACAGGCACGTTAAGCAGCCCAAATAAAGAAAATGTGTGCCAAAGAAATTAATTTCTGGTAAAGGGTAACTTTCAGTTTAGCAGTTATTTCTTCCTCCTTTACCAGTACTTAACAATGTAAGGTCTTTGTGAACAGACAATCAGACTGCAGTTAGAGAGACAGACTACTCATGATTGATGCTTTGACACTTCCCCCCCAAATTTTTAAAGTTAATGATTTAATCCAACCTCTCTAGGCCCTATACTTTTTTCCATTTAGTCCTAAGAAAAATCCAGCTGGAAGATTCTGGGTCACATAGATAACCACCTTCGACTCTACTTACACATCACCAACTCTGAGAATAAGTTAACAGTTAAGATTCATTTCGTACTCCTCTTTATTCCACTTCAGACCACTGGTAAGAGGTATCAGAAGAAGCATCTATTCAAGTCAAAATTTCTTTCCATACAGGAACCACATTTATGTGTCTTATACCACCTCTATTTGTGGAATAGATCCAGTAACCATACCAAGTTACTGGCCAGTTATCATGACCAGATAGTCTTCGGTCCATGTGCAAAATCAGCGTCTACACCAGCTACTTTCATATATGATTACCAAATTTTCTACAATATTTTTCTGTATTTAAGGACTGCTACAGTCTACAAAATTTGTGCATTATTGGACAATGAATGAATACTTAAAGAATGAACACCTAAGAAGGATGATCCATTTTCTAAAGTACACTTAAAGTGTTAAACTTTAGAGACAAAGCAAAATCTATCATAAAGTTGGATTTTGTTGATAGTAGGAGAGAGGTAGGTTAATAATTACTGTCCTAAGATAAGAATGCTAAACAATAAAAGCTGAGGCCTTGCTAAAAAACAAGTTGAACCTTCCAGCCCTGAGTTTCTAATGTTATGTGAAAATTATTAAAATGAGCATGACAAAGGAAAACACCAGTGACCATTTCCTTCCATCCACGATTACTAAATACATCACCTTCTCTCAAATAACAACTCAGGTACCATATGGCTACAGAGTGAAAATAAATGGACCTTGGAAAAAGGAATGTTGCTACAAAGCACTGGTTCTTAACCGGGGCGAATTTGTTCCCACCCTTCTGCCCCAGAGGATAGATGGCAATGTCTGAAGACATTTCTGATTGTCCCAACTTGGGAGAGGGTTCTACTGGCATCTAATGTGTAAAGTCAGAGATGCTGCTAAACATCCTATATTACAAAGGACACCCCCCTCCCCACAACATTATCCAGCCTAAAATATTAATAGTGCCAAGGTTGAGAAACTCTGGTTTAAAGGAACAAACGCCTATTTACAGAGAACAAGACCTGACTAGGTAATACAGCCATAAGCTTAATGCTAGGGAACATAGGAAAGCTGAATTCCTTGGTAGATGAAAATAAAATTTACTGTGAAAAATTAAAATACTGTACTGATTCCATCATTATAAGAACAGAAGAAATTGAATGATCCACTAAAATGGCATAATGCTTTAAACAAGGAGCACAGAGAGAATCTCTTCCAAGTGGGTCAAATATCTAATCCAAGAAGCATAAACCAAAAGCATTTAATATCAGCTAAATTTGCAGCAGTAAAGGATGATTTAAGGAATGATTTGAGAGAATATTCTGAACTTCCTCATATACCTTATCTTCCATTTTCTAATAACATGGATTCTGGCTTTAATTCCAAGAAAAGGAGGCACAGAAGTCATTTGATATTTGTTGAGTGGAACTGAATTATGAATTTTGTGTGAAATGGACACAGAAAAGCACCTTACACTTCTCTGAGAACTACCAGTGATTAAAAGACATTAAGAAACAAGGAGAAACAGAGAAAATTAGTTTCTATTTTAAGAATTCAGAAAAACCAAACACCAACACTGTAAGCCATTTTATAAATAAATTCAGTATGAAGTCATTCATTCATTCCCTACTATATTCACTTCCAGCGTAACTTTTAGAAAATACATCCATATCTAGCAATAGGGCTTTAAGCTTACCTACTAGATGAAGTGCAGAGTACAAGAAAAGAAGATCGTCTTCTTAGTTTAAACATCACCAAGGAAAATTCTCATTGCCTATGGTTCACAAAAGAAATAGTCAAAGGCTTTGAATGTATAAGCCAGTCAGAGTAAAGATTTCTTCCTATCAGACTGTAAGGAAGAGCAAAAGGAAGCTAAAAATAGTATCAGACCTTTATTTAGAATTGATTGTCAAAGCAGTGGTCCCTTTTGATCAGAGTGACTCAGAGAAATCATGTAATTCCTATGTAAATGACAGCTGAAAACTTCTGAAAGCCAGGACTACTTATGCAATCACTTTTTAAAAATGACTCCTCTCTTTGACTAGTTTTACACAAGTAAATGGGGAAATAGGAGCCAATGGTTTCTGGTTGAGGGACTTTAGGCACAATATGGCAGAGGGCCTCTGACGTCTTTTTTGCAATCTATCAGTGACTCAGTCACAGCCTACTATGGACTTCATCTGGTTACTGACTACCGTATCTTGCATTTTCCCAAAACAACTTTTTCTTATATGAAAAATTCCAAGCTCTGTATCCAACTGTTGCTTTGCAATTCTGAGGTTAAATCACCTGCTATCCTTCACGGAAGAGGCAATCCTCAAAAATAATGCCGTTTGCCTGGGATTCCATAATGAAACATCTCTTTTCCATCCACAAACATATACATAATTCATTTTAAGAGCTGTTTAACTTAAACTTTTTGAAAAAATATATTTTGAAATACTAAATTTCACTTATTGAAAGGTACCAAATCCAGTCTTTCAAGTTCTACACCCTTACAACAATCACTTCTCTCAACATGAGGGTCAACAGACCAAAGTTATTAGGGCAAATTTTAAAAAATATGAATGGCTAACATTTAGGCTAGGAATTCAAATATAACTACTGCTTATATATATTTACTTATCTAACATATTGGGTTGGCCAAAAAGTTCCTTTGGTTTTTAAGTAAAAATAAAAGACAAATTTTTCATTTTAATCAAGAACTTTATTGAACAGCGTATTCACCCTTTTGTTTCACTACTTTCTGCCATTTTTCAGGCAAATTCATAATTCCATCTTCCTAAAACTTTTTATCTTTTTGAGAAAAGAACTGTTCCAGGTGCCTTTTACAGCCTTCCAGGGAATTGAAATTTTTTCCTTTGAGAGAATTTTATAAAGACCGAAATAAATGGAAATCTGAAGGTGCAATGTCTGGTGAATACAGTGGATGAATCAGAATTTCCCAGCAAAGCTATAACAGTTTTTGCCTGGTCATCAAAGAAACATGCAGTCTTGCGTTATCCTGATGGAGGATTATGTGTTTTCTGTTGACTAATTCCAGACGCTTTTCGACGAGTGCTGCTTTCAGCTGGTCTAACTGGGAGCAGTACTTGTTGGAATTAATCGTTTAATTTTCCAGAAGGAGCTCATAATAGAGGACTCCCTTCCAATCCCACCATATACACAACATCACCTTCTTTGGATGAAGACCGGCCTTTGGTGTGGTTGGTGGTGGTTCATTTCACTTGCCCCACCATCTCTTCCGTTCCATATTATTGTACAGTATCCACTCTTCATTGCCCACCACAATTTGTTTTAAAAACGGAACATTTTTGTTACGTTTAAGTAGATAATTGCATGCAGAAACACAGTCTAGAAGGGTTTTTTTGCTTAATTTATGTGGAACCCAAACATCAGAGTGATTCACATAACCAAGCTGGAGCAAATGATTTTCAACTCTTGATTTGGATATTTTGAGTATGTTGGCTATCTCCCACGTGGTATAACGTTGATTGTTCTCAATTAATGTCTTGATTTGATGGCTATCAACTTCAAACTGATCTACCCGACTGTGGAGCATCTTCCAGCGAGAAGTCTCCAGCACGAAACTTCACAAACCACTTTTGACACGTTCGATCAGCCACAGCACCATCTCCATAGGCTGCAGAAATCTTTTTTTGCTTTTCAGTTGCGTTTTTACCTTTCTTGAAATAATAAAAGCATAATATGCCAAAACTGTTGCTTTTTTCTTCCATCTTCAATATTAAAATGGCTACACAAAAATTCACCAATTTTGATAAGTTTTTTTTAAATGCGTGCTGTGCTGTGTATGACAGCTGTCACAATACAATCTAACAAAATTGTTTCAAATGAAGTTAAAGACAACTAAGTGCTACTAGAGCCATCTTACGGAAAACCGAACAAACCTTTTGGCCAACCCAATATAAGGAACTATAACCAAAAAGTATGCCTAAGATCAGGTCCATATGTGTAATAAGGCCAAAGTATTGGTCAAAGGAGTGATTATAACAGTCATTTTAACCACTGGCCTGGATCACGGAATGACTGGCTGACTGTTTGCAGGACTTGAGTGGACATGCAGGTAAACACAACATAAATTCCAGTTGACAATGCACACACTTTTGGAACAACAAATAAGTAAATATAACATGGGCTATAAGGCCTCCAAGGTACTAATTTTTCCTTTTTTCACCATAGTTTTTCAAACTGGACTTTGGAGTCTTGATTCTAGGACTGCTGCTATATTTCTAAGAGGAGCTCTTCCCAAACCAAAGGCATGACACATTTGTGCTTCTGAGTCATAAAGAGATGGACCTTCAAGAAAAATGGCCTACATATTCAAAAGTTAAGTGTATATATTTAAATGCCTGGCCTAAAAAAAAAAAAAACAGAAACAAAAATGAACGAACTGAATAAAGAATCACATTTGTTCCTTTGTTAAAAATGACTGGTCTATAAAGGTTTCAGTAGATGGGGCCACGCAGTACATAACTGGGACTGAAGACAAAAATTGAAAATTTATAGCTTCTAAAAAGAGAACTAGAATATATAAAGTTGGTGTTATCATTTTGGGGAGAAACACTGAATAGGTTATGAGAAAAAAAGGAATGAAAGATTTGTTTTATCTTAAGAACCATTTGCCCCACACAGAATCTTTAAAATAGACAACTATACAAAACTTATCTATTGTTCTTATGACATTTAAATAAGTTACACAAAGTGGAAATTGTGGTGTTAGTTATCTTCTTCCTCATCCTCTTTAATTACTGGGGTACCTAAAATGAAAAAGAAAATTATTACTGGTCATTCTCAAGAGATTGTTAAATTCTAAATGAAAATATTTTTCTGTTAACCTGAGGAGTTCTGAGATGCTGAGAAGTGTGCCATAATAAAAATAATATCATAAAATAATCTTTTAAATTTCTAATTATCCAAAAAGCCTCTCAGGAGAATTCCCAAATGGATTAATATAAGTAATTATAAATATTCAGGTCCCCAAATGCAGAGTTACAAATAAAAATACCTACAGGTACCAGGCAGAAAAATAAGGCCCTATACACACTAAAAACTTTGTATGTTAAGCACAAAGAAATATTCACTTTTCACAATAAAATACGCAATCCCAGTATTGCCAGAATCTGAATTTTTATGTTACTCCCCCAAATACTAAACATTGGGGATAAATTGGAAAAAAATAAAAAGAACCAAGGCACAGAAAATAAAATACATCTGAAGGCTCTCACTGGCCCAAGAGCCAGCCATTTCTGAGCTCTGGCATTTGAAGCATGCCCACAATCTGACCCTAGTCAACTGTTCAGTCTTAACTCTTCAGCCAGTCACCCTCCACTCCAGATGAACTGATCAACTCATCGTCTCCCAAACTCATTTTGCAGACTACTACCTCTGGACTCCTGGCTAACAAAGTTCCTCCATTTTGGAATGCCCCCCGTAACACCCCTTCCATCTAGGCCCTACCCTTAATTAAGAGCCATCTCCAGTGCCTCTTTCCTGTGTGATTCTTCTTTATGGCAATGAGCAGAGTCTTACCCCTCTGTACTCCCCACAGCATCTGTTTGTGGGGGGTAGTGAATGTTTTATTGAAATATACATACAAAGTACACAAATTATAAGTGTACAGATTGATAAATGTATACAAAGTGAACACATCTGGTAACCAGCACCCAGATTAGGAAGAGAACATTATCAGAAACCCCAAAACTTCCTCAGGTCCCCTTCCAGTCACTGTCCCCCAACAAAGGGTATATTCTATCCTAATGTCTAACACCATGGATTATTTTGCCTGATTTTGAAACTGATATGAATAGAATGATGTAGCGTGCGCTCTGTGTCTGGCTTCTTTTGCTCAACATTATGTTTATATGATTCATATATATTGTGTGAAGCTATAGTTCATTCATTCTCATTGCTGTTGAATATTCCATTGTACGAATATGTCATAATTTACTTATCTATTCTATTGTTGTTGGGCATTTGGGTTGTTTCCAATTTATAGCTATTAAAATAGTGGTGCAATGAGCATTGTCATACAGGTCTTTTGGTAAACACCCATGCTCTTTTCTTCTGGGTATACAGCTAGGAGAAAAGTTGCTGGGTCATGTGGGATATGTATGTAGAGCTTCTGTAGATAATGCCAGTTTTCCAAAGTTATACCAAGTTACATTACTATCCAGCAGGGTATGAGAGTTCTAGTTGCTCCATGTTCCACTAACATTTGGTATTGTCTGTCTTTTTCATTTTAGCTCTTTAACACCCCTCAGTTTTTCTTACAAGCAACTGAAGAGGAGCAAAAAGAGGCAAGCTAGCAGCTGTGGCCACCTGTGTTCTGGTCCATCTCACTGGTTTAGGATAGACCAGCTGGTTTTTCTAGGGGCTGTTCAGATTGGCCTGAAGTCAATATTTGGTCCAAAAGGCTGTATATAATGTGGCTTGGTCTATTCAGGGTCTATATAAGGGATTCTTTTCCATTCTTAATGGAAGGGTTCACTTCCTGTGCATAATGAGAAAGGAAGACAAATGATTTCAAATGGTTTCTAGAGGTCAAAGTTGAACATAAAAAGGCTGAAGTCCAAGGCTCTAATGTACCCTCTCTTTTGTTCTATTTTATTTTAACTTATGAAATATTCATTCATATAGATACAATATAAAGAGTAACAAAACCAATTATTGTATACCCATCACCCAATTTAGGAAACAGAACATCACCAGTATCTAAGAAACCTGTTTGCCTCTTCCTGTTTATTCCTGTACCTCCCACAAGAGGCAGTCTAGTGTCTTTGTTATTTTACTGCTAGGTATGTAGCCAGAGGGAAAAAAGGGAACATTCTGCATGATTCCATTTATATAAAACTCTATAAAATACAAACTAATCTATAGGGACAGAAAGCAGATCAGTGACTGCCTTGGGAGGGATGGTGGTGAGCAGCAGGAGGGAGGGATTACAAAGAGGCAAAAGGAAATTTTGGGGGGGTGATATATATGTTCATTATCTTTTCCCCCCAACTTTATTGAGATATGATTGATATATAACATTCTGTAGGTTTAAGGTAAAAATGGCCTGGCTTCCTCATAGGACCACTGGAAGGAGGAAAGACCCAGGGAGGTCTGTGACTCTTTTATTATTTCTGGTTTTCAGATGACAAAAGAACAAAGTTTGGTGAGATGAATTAACCAGCCGGATGACAAAAAAGCTAGAACTGGGACTTGAACCCAGTCAGTCAGGGATCTCTCCTGACATTTTCACCTATCTTAGGTATTGAGAAACTAAAATTAGGGGGAAGAGGGAGAGAGAACATTACAATTTTGATCCAATTGTGAAAAAGCAACTCCTTACTATTTATGTCTAATTATTTTGCAAAATAATACGTTTGGGACTTGAGAATAATAAACCCAGCTTTCTTATAAGCTTTTGGTTTAGGGATGATCTTATACCAGTCTAAATATTCTAGAAGTCTTTCATCTCACTCTGGCCCAAACTGGGACCACAAAATTTCCTACGGACAGAAGTGGCCTTGGAGACCAGAGATAACCTATCATTTTCTTTAGTTTTGCTCCTTTTCATGATTCCATGCTACAAATTCAATTCTTACACCCAGAAAACATTTCCCAGCTGGCCCAGAGTCACTCACCATCTAACTTTTTCAGTTTGGGTACTCTCTTGGTTGCCTCGTCAATCCAGTTCCCTTCAGCAGAATGTTTCTCTTCCAAGGGATTGCCTACAAACACCAGGTCTTCTAGGCATGGTAGTTCTGCCAGCTTCCCAAATTCACCTACAAGTACAAAGAATACATTCCATATTAAAATGGCAAGTTTTACTCTTATGATTTTGAAGGGTGAATCCCAGTACCACTAGCCCTCAGTTTGTGACTATTCAGAACAATTCATTGTTTAAGATTTTGAAGGAAGTAGGGGACATTATACCATATGAAGTCATTCTCTGAAGACATTATGGAAAGGGAGGGAAAACGTATCTCTTCTACCTTTATGCTAATCTAAGGATGGGATAAGAAGAGGAAATGAGGTTCAGAATTAACAAATCAATCTCCAGTGACAGGTCTTCTCTATACTATACTACATCAGTATCAGCTAAACTAAACTGCCTTTGTCTCTACCCATTCCCTCATCTCTAAATTCTTAAAGCAACTCATTCAAGCCTCTATTGTAGAACTTATCACACAGTTTTCTAATTATTAACTCATAAACTAATCTTTCCCACTAAGCTGTGAACTCCTTGAGGGCAGGGATAATGTCCTATTCAGCTATGTATCTCAACAGCCTGGCATAGTTCATGGCACACAATAGGGCTTTAAAACTAAGCTGTGAACTCCTTGAGGGCAGGGATAATGTCCTATTCAACTATGTATCTCAACAGCCTGGCATAGTTCAGGGCACACAATAGGGCTTTAAAATGCTAAATGGATAATGTACAATAAAAAAGAAAAGCAATATATATGTTAAATAAGTCTTCCACCCAAGAATTATTAAACCGATTCCTTTTGGCCTTTGGACAATAGTTTAAATTTTTTCTTGATTAACAGGACCAGGGCCTATTCAATTATAATCATTCTAAGTAAATATTTAAATGTAAATTTCAAGTGTTTAGATGAAATATAGGAACTCCTATAGCTATTTCCCTCTGTGCTTAGAAACAAATGTCCCCATTTCGTATCTTGTTCCCTATAGGGCTATTTTCTATAAACATGAGGTAGAAGGTTAGCAAAGAGCCAGCCTCACTTACCCCAGTCTTTCACCAGGTTATTAGACATGTAAAGAATCTTCAATTTCTTCATTACATGGATCCCTTTCAGCTTCTCAATAAAATTGTAGGAGATCCACAGTTCTTCTAACGTGTCCCCTACTGCTTCCTGAAAAAGAAAGCAATTTGATTTACATACTTATTTTTAAGCTTTTCCTTCTGTCCCCTTCCTCATAAACATAAAGACAATGGCCTTCAGAGAGAACTGAGACCAACCTGTCCACTGGCAGGAGAGCTGAAGGCTGTGGGGGAGTTTTTTCTCATTAAGAAAGCCAAGTAGAACATTTTCTTCCTCTCTTCAAACTGATCTGAACTAAGAATAGCTACTGAAATCACCAAGAGGGGAAATAAGAGCACTTTTTTTTTTTTTTTTTT